GTCAGCCACCCCAACCAGGAGCATCTGACCCAAGTCAGCTACCCCAACCAGGAGCATCTGACCCAAGTCAGCCACCCCAACCAGGAGCATCTGACTCCAGACAGTCACCCCAACCAGGAGCATCTGACTCCAGACAGCCACCCCAACCAGGAGCATCTGACTCCAGTCAGCTACCCCAACCAGGAGTATCTGATCCCAGTCAGCCAGATCAAGGAATATCTGGCCCAAATAAGGCACCTCCAACAGGAAAACCTGGAACCTCTCAGGCTGGTAAATGTATATATGTTTAAGAGCTTTTAACTGTTCTGGGGGTCACCCACCAGTTTTCATATATCGTATCATAGGCCTACTCCGGGACCCAAAATTTCCCAAATTTAAGTATAGTTTAAAACACGAGAGAGAGTGTTTTATCAGGTATAAAGATTCGAAGAGCCGAAGGCTCGAATCTTTATACCTGATAAAATACGATCTCGAGTGTTAACACTAATTTGAAACTCAACTCCGTTAAAATTCTTGGAGAAATTGCCGTACAAATATGTTCAGAGATAAATGGGGCAAACTGATCATGCACGAATCACTTTACAAAGCACTCTTGTCATCCCACATTGAATGCGCATAAAGTAAAGTAGAACCGCTCTTGGCTGTTCACTGAAATCGGTTGACATCCTGCATTGGTCAATGATCAAACCTGAGACCTTTGCTAGGGTCATGGACCTTTATATCTGATAAAGGTCACCCTTATTAGTATTCTTTATATAAAGAATACTAATAAGGAGTGTTTTATCGGATATAAAGGTCCATGCATGTGACCAAATAGGCTCATTCTATTGGCCTGTAGCTCATTAATTATGTATGAGTTTTTTTAACAGTATTTGGAGGTCTAGAAATCAAAAATTGAAATGCAACCGCTGTACTGTGTTATATATGCATATGGTTATCTTTTTTAAAATTTTCGTATGTATCTTTCTTTATCTTGACAAATAGACAGTATGCCCAAAGGAGAGACAAAAAAAGACAATTTCATTCAACTTCATACATTGGTTTTTGAAGAAGGTACCAAAGTGCTGAGAATGATTTTCGATGAAAAGCGTGATATCATTCTTGAACAGTTTAATGAAGATCCTTCCTTAGAGAGGAAGCTCAAGAGAAGTCTTAATCCAAAACTGATAGCAAAACTGATAGCAAAAGGATTTCCATCGGAGGATTGTGATATCACATGTTTGTGTGTGCTTTTGAGTTTTGCTGACTTGGAACCTGAAAAATMTGCAGCCATAGATCAAATTAGAAAGAATAGAAATATGTTAGCGCATCCTACTGACCTTGCATTGAGTTATTACGAGTTTGAAAGAAGATGGACCGAAATAGCGGATGCACTGGTTGAACTGGGCGGAGAAAAGTGCAGGCCTAGGAAATTCACGCTGAAAGCAGCACAAGATGAAAAAGGCATGGTTTCGGATAGTGAAGACTTGGAAGATTTACAACAAGAATGGCAAATTATTAACGGCAACATGAAAGRAAGTGGCACTGGACATTACAAGCTTTATAGACCACTAGGTATGATATCATTTGTAGACATATTGTTAACAATACTTGATTGTGTCGAAAAAAGAGTGCAACTAACCCCGTCCTAGAAGTCACTTTCAATCAASTTATCAAGCCTCCTTTTTGTGCAAAATATTCGATTTTCAACTGTAGTTTTTGAGCTATAGGAACTTTAGATAGAATTATCATTCTATTTGGACGTCAATTAATGAGAATTTTCAAGAGAYTCTTTTTTGTCAGAAGTGCATAGCAGTATGTTCACGTTTGGCAGAAAAAATGGTTTTCTGTATTGGGTTTAATGTTGTTCGCATTCTCAAATTTGTCATTTTTTCAGATAGCGTTGGAAGTCAACAACAAGGGCAAAATGCGAACCAAGACTTAGGTATATTGATTGGTACAAATGGCATCGAACGGTTTCCAACTGCTCGATAGATTTTGTATGGATCTTTATCTGTTGGATTTCAGYTCGCTACCCCCTCTTCGTACAAATTGCACTGGAAAAAATCGCGCGCTTTAAAGGTTGTAAATTTGATGTAAATATGATGTGAGTGTCCAAAATTCTGTAAATTTCGGGAGGAGCCGACGGGTTCCTGGGAGAAATATACATGTTCTTATAACCCAGCCAGCTGTAAGTTGCAACTGGTTTCCAGGAAAGTTATAAGACATTCAAAAATATTTTTGTAAAGCACGGAAAGGAATAGGTTATAGGAACCAGGAAACTCTTGACGACTCGACATTTGCAGGAAGGAAAATCCCGAATATCTGTTAAATACTCAAGTGCTTTAGCGGCCGTCTAGTTCAAAATCAATTTCCCAGGAAAAAAATCGTATAAGAACAGATATTTAGAAAAACAGACCTGGTAGGCTCCTCCTGAAATTTAATGGAAATCATTTACATCAAATTTACAGAATTTTGGACACTTACATCATATTTACATCAAATTTACAACCTTTAAAGCGCGCGATTTTTTCCAGTGTTGTAGTCGGATAATAGTCTATCGCACTTCAGCACTACACAAAATTATATATTCGCACTAGTAATAGCAAGGTTAGCATCATTGTAATTTGCTTTAAATAACAGATCTGGTGACGCTATTGGATAGCGACGAAAGTATCGGAGATGGTTTGGCTCTTCGTCTTGATCATGAGTACCAGGTATCGCGTAATTGGAGACATCTGGCTAATGAAATGGGTGCTCCCGATATGATCATACAAAAATGTAAAAATGATACTGTACACAGCCCAACGTTATTACTCTTGAAGTATCCAAATGTTAGTTGCAAAAATGTCGATGAGTTGGTGAAAAAGCTGAAGCAGATTGGAAGAAAGGATCTTGTCAACTTACTTCATTCTCACATCCCAAGTATGTATAGCGAGGTATAGTTTACAGCATGAGCGGCCGTGTTGTATGGAATTACAAATTCAAGCCGCAACGGACGCGGATGTTGTAAACGACTTTTCTAGAATTCATTAATAATTCATGAGCTATTAGTCCAATGAGCATCAAACTATTGGATGACATGATGGGCCTTTATATCCCGATAAAGAATTGTTTTATTAATCAGTTCTATATCTCCCGATAAAGCACTCGTGCTCRTTTTTTAAACACTACAATAAAATCACACGCGATATGACATCATTTACTAAATAGTGTGTATTAAAGAATTTACGCTTCACTGCTGGATAACTGTGTAGTAATAATGGTGAATATCGTAAATTTGTTTTTAATTTGCAGAAGCCAATCAAGGGAAATCATTAAACGACACACTTCTTAAGATGGACGGTGTTTTGGATAAGCTAGCTTGCAAACTTGACCTGCGAAGTARAGTAAACAAAAATTGGCGGGATCTTGGAAAATTATTAGGACTGRAACCATGGAGACTTGATCTTATTGAGAAAGGAAATAACCCAACAAAAGATTTTCTGCTGTATGTGTACAGAGATTTGCATGTGACAGCTGGAAAGTTTCGACAGATCATTGACGGCTTCAAAGATAGATCTGATGTAGTAAAGCTGTTAGACGAATATAAAATATTTCCAGGTAAGATCGTTAACGGTTTTTAATTAAACACTTCTTACTGTAAGAATGAAATGTTTAGAAGATTTTGGAAGCACAAACGTAAAAGTCGGACTTACTGTGGGACACCCTGACTAATAACGTCTGACTTTAAWACTGTGCGTCCAAGGTCTCGGGGTCGTAGCTAGGACCTGAAATCAAAGTTACTTTCCCCTTTTTTAAAGGGAAGGGATAATATCACAAATATCATTTAGCGGTTCTCCGATCCTTCGGTTTCTGCAACCAATTCAACACCAGCCGAGGACTTGATAATTCCTCTGTCCTACTTTATCTCTAATGTAAATAGGAAGTAAAAATACATTTTATATTTTACTACAGAAGACAACAGACCTCTTAAAGATGTAATTAAGCCAGAGAGTGAAGCAATGCGCAAAGTGTGTGAATGTTTAAACAACAATCTCCGAGGTGTTCTTCATGACTGGAAGAATGTGGCTTGTAAATTGGAAATACCATACGAGACGTACAGCACTTTTGACCCGCCAGAGCGATCTAGCCCAACCAAGGAGCTTCTGGACTGGGTTAGATCAGATCAGGACTTGATGTCGGTCTACAA